CCCTCCCACCCTCGCGCCTAAGGGATAAATTAATCAGGAAAGTCGAAGAGAAAGGGACGAGCACCTGAATTCCTTCCATAAGGATGACTTCGGTGATCAAGAATACTGGTTCCAACACTTTGGAATTCAATATCAGAGCAAGCTGAGAGAGGAGACTGCATATGAAGAACACAGGGATTTATGCATCAAAGTGGATCTATCGCAATTCGATAAAGGTATAGATCCAGATGACTTTATTGAATGGCTACTGTCAGTTGAGAGGTTCTTCGAGTACAAAAAGGTGCCAGAAGACAAGAGATTAAAGTTTGTAGCCATCAAATTGAAGAAGAGTGTCTTCTTGTGGTGGGAAAACTTGCAGAGACGGAGAAAGAGAGAGGGCGGTGTAAGATACCAGAGGTGAGGAAGGAGACGCAGAGAAAACACATGCCTTCTCATTGTCGCCAATATATGTTTATATGACTCCACCTACAGCAGAGAGACTTATCAATGGAGGAGGCGCAGTTTGACCAGTTGCAGATGAAGTGTGTGTTAGTTGAGCCAAAGGAACATTCTATAGCCTGATATCTTGCGGGATTGATGCCCGTTATCAACAACTTTGTGTTGTTGTAGCCCTATTGATCACTGGGAGATGTTCGGACCTTAGATTTGCTGGTGGAGAGAAAACAGCACAGAGCAGGCAACCACCATCATTCAGGCGGTCACCCGTAGTTGGAGACATCAATTTGAACACGCCTCTTGGAGTTGAGAAAATTGATTTGGATAATCACAGATCCCTCCCGAGTGAGAAGAAGACCGAGAAGAGTAGCACTCCTAGTATAGTCCTCACTCGAAAATGTTTTAGATGTCATAGATTTAGGCACATTCCTCCAGCTGCCCGAAAAGTTGAGTTGTGTATCTTATCAAGCAGGGTGTAGTGGAGGAGGTTAGCGACGAGGAGGTAGCTGAAAAATAGGTTGAGGTGTATCATCTTCCACCAGATAAGGTTGAGATGCTCGTTGTTCGATGCGTCCTAGAGACTGAGGAAATGAGGGATTTGCAATGGGTTCGTCATAACATATTCTACACCCATTACACTGTGAATGGGATGGGTAGTCTCATCATCGGTGGAGGGAGCAGCAAGAACGTGAAATCTATGCAAATAGTGTCGAAATTGGGCTTCATGACTTAGAGGCATTCTCTGTTGTATTTTCTAATGTGACTGAAGAAAGAGAACAGGTTCAGCATTGACTGGAGTTGCCTAGTGGAGTTTTTTATTAGGAGTAGGCTGCAGGATCAGGTGTGGTGTATTGTGGTACCCATGGATGTCTGCCACCTTTTGTTGGGGAGAATGTAGTAATTTGATCGTAGGACTCAGCAAAATGGATTCAGAAACACCTGCTCCTTCACCATGGGAGGTGCATCATCCTTCTCACTTTTGCGAATCCCAAGATCACGTGTACCCTTGTCAGCAGAGCAGTGTCGGTGGGACCAATTTTGGTGATGATGGAGAATGAAATGACTGAGACGCCAATTCCAGCCATGGGAAGAGAGCATTTTAGGATATCACGGTTGATACCTTACCGCCATGGTCGCCTCATTTTAGGATATCACGGTTGATACCTTACCGCCATGGTCGCCTCCAATCAGGGAGGCTTAAATTACCCTTGCTTCAGATCAGGTTGAGTCAACCTTGGGCTATTTTAGGAGGGTACGGCAGTATATACATGATATGCAACCCAGAAGATTGGATCCATATGGATATATGCTCGTAAGTGGAGAAGATTCCTCCAGTGCTGTGAGAGGCACTCAGCTGCCAGTGGGATCCAAGTGCTTCTCGGGCAGTCAAAGATCCGTCAACCCGGGAGGTTCTAGCTACTTTGTCACCATCAACGTGCAAACAAAAGCTTTAACGAATGAAGTTGAAGCTCCTCCAACCTCGGGAGACTGACAGGGGGCTCCTTGAGGTTTGAATTGGTTGGGAACAGTTGGGCCGGTTCAGTCAAGGGGTGCATGGGTCGGCCGGCTCTTATTTTGGGTTTAGGGTTGCCGCCCAAGGGGATGGGACTCCCCCCTTCTAATTATCTACTATATATAGGGTATTTTATGTCATTAGAGTTCAATTTTTGCTTAAGATTTATGTCAGGACAACCGTCGATATCCTGTTTTCCCTTCTAGAGTTATATCCGACGAAGAGAATATGCTCCAGTTCTAACTTGTCGCGAGATGGTATGTATTCTTCCCTTTTACTGCTTGTTGTCGCCTTCCCCTATCCATCTCTGCTGCTTCCGTGACTCCTCACACCTGACCACCTGTTGTTGTGAGACCCATCCACTTCATATTGCCGTACCCCCTTCCTCCTCTTTGTTTCCTACCGCTAAGTCACCCAGCTTTCCTACAGGCGGCTGCTAACACCATTCCTTCTGTCTCCTTACACAGCAATCCAACCTCACCTCCCCTTCACCCTACCCACGGTAACCCCTTACCAACCCTTCCAACTTCCTCCCTTGTGGTCATTCCCGACCAGCCCTCACCATCCCTACTGGAACACCACACACTTTCCTCCTTGCTACTACCTAACAGCCAACTTTCCATCATAACATTTTCTTCCTCTCAAACCTCAACACCACCACCCTGATCTACGCCCTAATTTTGTATTGTCATTGTTTTTCTTGTTTTTTAAGTCTCTTGTTTGTAACCCTTTTAAATTTCAGCAATAATATATGTATTTCTTTTGTGGTTTGTGGTTTAGGTTAACTCCGACATCACTTAATTCCAACGTTAGTTATGAAACTGATTGGCTGTAATAATCAATTTTGTAGGAACCTGCATATGAGATTTTGCTTGCATATAATCCATTATCAATTTCCATATCTTGACATTCACAATTATTTGCAAAATGCTCAAATTCACCATATCTATACCGCTTTCTTACTATAGTTTGGCTTGGGAAAAAATTCAGCATTGGGTAAAAATGGGATTCCTTTCTTCTTCGATTGTCGCAGTTGTGGCTATAGGTAACCTCATCGGGTTGTCTCCTCTTGAAGTATGCAAGCCTCTATTGCAGTTGAAGTATTTCTTGTTGTATGCCATTCATAGTAAGCTCTTGGGTACCTTTTTTGGAGTCCTCCTAGGCAACATTGTGTCATTTTCTCATGATCAGGTTGTTGGCGGGTGTAGGATTGCAAATCAAAGGATGGTCGGGGGCTTAGATTTTGGCGGCAGGTGTCGGGGTGAAATTTTGGTAAATTTAGGAAAGATTGATTTTGAATTTTTTAGGTTTGGGGCTAGGAACTATGGTTTGAATTGGTGGTAGATTTAAGTTGCGGAATTTTGGGAAGGCATAGGAATGCCAAATCCCAAAAATTTTTTGTTTGTCGAGCTCGGATACTAGGTGATACTGTTTGAGAGCTCTTAGAAGGTATTTGAAGGTGGATTTGCGGAGAGGTGGTTGTGGAATGGCAAGGGGGAGATAATGGGCAAATTTGGCGATATTTAGAAGGGGATAAGTATCACTTAGTGGTTGTACCGGGTAAAAACAATAAAGATAGCATTGAAATGATGATATATGAAGGTCAACGAGGTTTACCCATCTGTTCCTGCACAAGCTACAAACACCACTTATAAAAGGAAAAGAATACAATACTCCATTAGGGTAAAAATCAAAGATGCTACCTTAAAACACACAAAACAAATCAAAAAGTCCCTAAAATAGAATATAATAAAATATAAATAGTCCCTCCAGTAAAAACCTACATAGAAATAAGGAAAATAAGAAATAAAGAAATAGGAAATAAAATAATATAAAATAAATTAAAAAGGAAGGAAATCTACTGAAATTAGAAATCGGGCGTTCGAACCATCGGTCATGCGACTTCTAGACTCTGCTTTCTCGCGGAATCGTGTGGCTTTCTTCGGCCCGCAGAATCCCACGAAAATGGGTCACGCGATCCCTATATTGAGCTCCGCATCACTTTTGCTTTGGTTTATGCATTTGGATATTGTGTTCTTTGATTTTTCAACATCAAGGAGTGTTGTGACCTCTTCCGTTTGTAAGTGGTATGCATATAGCTTGCTGAAAAATAGGTTATGGATCTTCCTTGGTAGTCTTGCCTCACCAAACCCATTGTTTCAGCCCAAAAATTTTAACTTTTTCAATCTCCTTCCAACTTTGACCTCACATATTCTCTCCCTTGCCATTCTACAATCATCTCTCTGTTAAATCTGATCCTTAAACAGCTTCTAGAACTCCTACAATTGTCACTCGATACAGTGTCTAATCTTAATTCCAATTTTCAACCCTAAACCCCTAAATCATCCCCTCTTTGTCAGTTAAAACCCTAATTGGGAGAATATTAATACTATGATGCTGAGGTGAAACATAAAAAGAGGTGTCGAGCTCTCAATAAAAGACTTGCAAAGGAAGATTCTGCAACAAAGGTTTGTTTTGATAGGAGGCAACACGGAGAGATCACACGTAACCTAATGGTGACTCATCAGACCAAGCGAACGAAGTCATCCCCTTCCGCCTTAAGTTTCTAGTGGTGAAGAATCAATGCCTCAATGATTTAACATTCAATACCAGACCCATTGATGCCTTCTTTCAGCAAGCTTGCGCACATAACCTCTTAGCTTACTTGTCGTATAGGGTTTCTTGGTGGGTGCTGGAATGGGAGGGTAGGTGAGAGGGAGAGATGTCAGGAGATTTGGCCATGTAAAAGAGAGAGTGGCAGGAACAGGTATACAGTGCATATGGGCATGGCGTGAAGTGTGAGGCCTCTTTTTTCTTCATTCCTTTTTTTTTTTTTTTTCATCTTGTTCGACAGTTAGTATAC